ATCGCCGCACAACCTGCGCCAGCCCCGACTCTCATACTTACACATTCAAATTGTTTAATGAACAACTTTCATTATAAATAAATAATCAAAAAATATCTACGTGATACCAAGCGTAGTGGAAATCATGCATGAAATTATATTAAGAGGGGTTAAAGTCATAGAAACGCAAATCAATCCATACTATAATTTATTAATAACGTAAATGAGTACACAATGCCGAAGGCTTAAATGATTTACTTCGTTCAACACTTCTGTTTTGATAAAAAATATATTTACATTCAATAGAGGAAATCAGCTCTGCAATCTAATGTGAAAACCGCCACACGATATAAAATAGATGTTCGTATTCATTAAAGACTTTATCTCGAATCGTATGGGGGAGTTCGCTGTGCACTCGGCGCTGCGCCGGCCACCGCGCCGGCCACTGCCCACACGACACGACACGGCACGGCGCTAGGCTACACTGCGGCGGCACAACTAACAACAAAACGTGCAATGGACCTCAAACTGTGCTCAACGGAAGACATTCATGTAACAAACGTGGCTATGTAGACAAAATCGATGTTCAATTTTAAAAACATTTAATTTTTTAACATTAAAAGTACAACATACAAATACGGAAATTGAGCATGGTGTATTATAAATACTGGTGGCACTACACTAGCGCCGCGGCGACGAGCGCGCCCTCTGCCCGCAGCGCATACCGGACTGCGTCTCTCTCTGTCTCGCACGGGGCGAGGGAGCAGGACGCCTGATAGCCACTCGATCAACCGAGCATTATAGATATATATATTTACTGGTCCTGAATGAGTCCGGTTGAGCGAAATGGCTATCGGCATGCAATCCTACCTCCCCGTCCATACACATTAATTCAACATAATAATCTTTTATATCATAAAAACTTTTAAATGAAAGCTAGAGATGGTCACTAACAAAGAAAACGGCCATCACTCACATGTGACTTGCTTTAACAAATGGAAGCTGTAGATATACTATGGAAATTTAACACATCAAATTGTCCATTCTTCGTGTGTTGCCATCCACAGACAACATATTGGGCAATGTAACCGACATCAGGTATGCGCTGTGTACATCCATTCACGATTCGCGTCAGACATGCCGTAGGGAGTCGTGCAACTCACGGGGGAGGTAACCACTACTGTGGGGGGGGGGAGGGGCACACAGGACACAGGCATTAACAACAACCCTGCTAATTAACATATCGAGTATTTTAAACTAACTCAACAGCGTCGACGAGTGCAATTGACGAACAAGTGATACTTAACTCACGCTACGTTAACAATACAGACCCTTGGGTACAAACCATACGACGAAAACAGTTACATTTATGATCTAAGAGATGTAACTATTTTCGTCGACTGGGTAAAAAAAAGATAGGCGATGCGGCGTCGACTCCGCCCTAACATTATATACAGTGGTGGCTTGTGGCAACTTATTTGCAGTGTCGGTGTTGCCAGCGCGGCTGCGGATGTACCTCACATTTACCATTTAATTAACAATACTTTATGACTAAATCCTACTGGATTTTGTGATTATCGTTCTTCATAATAAAATTTCAATGTAGAATTTTATCTAATTGAAATGTACATAAATAGTCTACATACATTTTATAAAAATGCCTACAAGTTCTACTAAACAACAAGCTATATATTATTAATATTACTGTAAACAGGGAACAGTTATAAAAATTGTAGTTATAAAAGTTAAATCTTTACATAATTATTAATATGTAAACATGTTGTGATATAACATGATGAGATTTCATTTTTTTACATTAAAAAGTAATACCACTCAGAATATAAATGTGCGGGGAGGTGTCCCGAGCGCCGCCGCTGGCAACACTGCTGGAATCTTAATTATTATGCGCATTAACTATAACAATTGGTCTATCACCCGATTAGCAAATTTCTTTTATAAAGCCTTGGATCGTATAATTTGTGCACAGCGTAAAGAAACAAGAATAGTATGAAAATTTAATTTAACATCTCATAAAAACCGAGAAACAAATCGTGTTACAAAATACATATCATCCTTAACTATAATGATTATCATATATTTATAATAACATCGATCTTGATGATTTTCTTTTCAATATCTTATTGTAGCACACTAACCATTTTGTCAGATATGTCATTTAAATTCAGATATTCTCCAAGTAACAACAGTTTGGCTTAATTTATGAAATTTCTATAAAAAACTTAAGTAATGCATTTCTCTTTATTTAATTATTTTTACATCTTCATTAAAATCACCTATAAAAACTTTTAAATAACATAAAAAATAATCGCATTTCGATTGAAGAGGAGTAATCCGAGACGTTTTTTGATACGACGTTTGTTTTTAGAGTAAAATATAAAAGTACCCGCATCTCGTGCTACGTACGTCGCAGCACCCGCGCTACGTACGTCGCAGCACCCGCGCTACGTACGTCGCAGCACCCGCGCTACGTACAGCACTACACAGCACTACGCAGCACTACACAGCACTACGCAGCACTACACAGTACTGCGCAGCAACCGCCGACAAAACGCGTCTCGCTTACCCGCGTCGTAAAATAGATGTTTAAAGTTTGCAACATATCTCTGCATTTGTGACTCAAATTCCATTACAATACGTGTTAAAACTAAAAGACGAATCATCAATCACATGTACTTTACTTTATGTACTTAGGTATAAAAATTTGCATTACAAAAAAAAACTTAACTAGAAATTACTAAAATTATACATTCACACATGAGTATTTAGCGATAAAGCACAAAAACATTGTTCGAAGAAGCTGCAACATGACTACTGTTACTTCTATATTCTATTTGTAACTTAACAGACCCGCCGGTGGCACTAAACGTGAGTTCAATAATTCGTAAATCATAAAAAATCAGATATATGACACAAGATAGCTTAAAAATAGACCGTACGGTACAACTTACAACAAATACACGAGCTCCGCGTTGCGCCTCTATCACATGGAACCTTTACGAGGAAAGCACCCTTTATTAAAAATACTTGTGCGAAAAAGACTAGAAAAATCTACAAGACGAGAGTTGTCATGGATTTGTTGATCTGTATGTGAGTGGGGGGCGAGGGGAGGGGGCGCCGCGCATTTCTCTCGTAATTATTAAAGCTATCGCCACTGGCGGTGGCCGCCTGCTCGCGCCCCACACACTCTGCTGATATGTTACCAAACACACGTTAACCTGAACACCGTTTTGTAGCTCCTACGTAAAGGTCTGAAATAGCAGACGATATATAAACTAAAATATACAACGAGTAAACCAAACGAGGCGTTGTTATAAAAATCAAATAAACCGAAAACGCCAAAAAAACTGCGGCTACGTATGAATCAGATCTTTTAGTTAAAACATCGTCACGAAACGATTATGGCAAACAAATTATAGAGAAAAGTTAAAACCTAAAAGGAAATGGATTAAATTAACGTTGAGAGCATAAACGACTTGTATCACTTAAAACATCTATGTACGACTCATAGACTTTTTAAGTTTTTCCAAGTGAAAGACTATTAAATCTACCGGGAGGAAACGAAACGACGTGCTAATGCTGAGAGTATGGACATCAATCGATGGGGACTTTGTGCTTTGGTATAAACGTTGAGCGAATTCATCGACATCACAATACTTTACAATTCTAATGCGAATGTTAGATCTAACTTTACCACGTCTAGAGGGTTGGACCCGTACGCAAATGTTGTTCGATAAAATGAGTGTCAGATAAAATTGTTACATCGGACACCACCGTGTGTGGCAACACCAATACAATTACAAGGAGAAATCTCAATGATATGTAAGAACTCTCTTATATACTACATCTAAAGCATTACGACTACGTGTCAGTAAAATTAGACAATTTAATGCTAGCGACCGAGACTCTGAATATATCGAAAGCGCAAGTTTACCCCTTTGTTGTATAGGGGGCAGCGGGCTGTGCACCACAAAT